TTTATTGATTTATTGATTTCCATATGTTGAATCAACCTTACATCCCGAGGATGAACCCACTTCTTCATGGTGAACTATCATTTTAATATGTTTTCTTACGCACTGTGCCAGTATGTTATKGAGATTTTTGCGTCTATGTTCATCAGGGATATGGGTCTGAAGTTTTCTTTCCTTGATGTGTCTCTGTGTGGTTTTRGTATCAGAATGATACTAGCTCCATAGAATGAGTTTGGAAGGGCTCCCACCTTTTCTATTTCATGGAATACTTTGAGGAGGATTCGTGTGAGTTCTTCGAAGGTCTGGAAGAACTCTGCTGCGAGTCCGTCTGGTCCTGGGCTTTCTTTGTTGGTAGGCTTTTGATGGTGTGTGCAATTGCATTGTTTGAAATCAATCTGTTTGAATTTTCTGTGTCCTCCTGATTTGATTTGGGTAGGTCATGTGTCTCTGAAAATGTGTCGACCTCTTCAAGATTCTCTGTTTTTTTGGAGTAGACATTTTCAAAATAGTTTCTGGTTATTGTCTGTGGTGATATTTCCTTTTTCATCACAAATTTTATTAATTTGAGATTTTTTCCTTTTTCTCAGTTATGTTGGCTAAGGGTTTATCAATTTTATTTATTTTTTGAAAGAACAAACTTTTTATTTTGTGTATTTTTTAATGGTTTTTGTTTGTTTCAATTGCACTGATTTCAGCTCTCATTTTAGTTATTTCCTGTCTTCTTTTGGCCCAGCTCTTCCCTGGAGAATGTGTACAGGAGTGTGGGAAGGCCGGGTGGGGGTCACTTGCTCAGCAGAGAGCCCTGGAGCCCGTGTCGTGGCCAGAGGACCTGGCCGGTGGCTCAGGCGCACTGAGGGGAAGTGCTGTGGGCCAGCATGGGCTGTTGGGCGTGGAAGAGGGCTGCTGAGAAGCCCTGCGGGTTGGGCAGCTGCATCATGACCAAGGGCTTCCTCAGGAGGCCACTGTGGTAGAGGAACACGAGGACCAAGCCCTCCCCGGGGCAGAGACCCTGGCTATGGCAAGTCTTTGCAGTGGCTTCACCTTTGCTTGAGTTCTCCCTGGGGCCCGAGTGGTTTTCCAGTGTTCACAGACTGTGAGAAACCTTCCTCCCTTTCTTTCCATTGCGCCTGAGCTTTATGGCCGGAAACTCTTACGCTCTGAGTYCCTCACGTTCCTACACTTGCTAGAGGTCGACTTCTCCCCTGGAAAGCCTGCCGTCCCACTCCCTCTCTCTCTTTAAACGGGATCCTGAGGCTTGCTGCAGGGCAGGCCTGGGTCTCAGCTGCATGGGACTCCCGTCTGGGTCGCCTGAGGGCATCTCAGAGCAGGTGTAGGTCCCCTCCTGGACCCAGCTGATTCCCAGCCCTGCCAGCACACCTGTTCTTTCTCTCTGACTCACCCTATTTTTGGCAGTAGGTTCTTCCCAGAATCCCCCAAACCATGAGTAAATATCAGATCTCCCCTGGGAATTTTGAAACATAAATTTGGGGTCAAAGCCTATGATCAAACTCTCCAAAAGTTTCCTGTGAGAAGACTGGGAACGCATCTCACATGGCCACGATGCCTTTAACCACACGTTCTCCCTCTGAGACCTCCTACATGGTTTCCTATTGGCATCCACACTGCAGGAGGATTCTGGAACATTCCCTGTAATTATAACTTGGGAAAGGGCCCAATGGGACCAGCAGGGAGAATGGGAAGCTGGGCGGGTATTTCTGCTGTTGTCACATTAAATATCCGGGTGGAAACT